TATATATATATATATATATATATATATATATATATATATATATATATATATATATATATATATACATATAGAAAAAAGTTATTTTAAATTGTAACAATATTTCACAATATTATTGATTTTACTGTGTGTTTAATAAAATAAATCCAACCTTGGTGAGCATAAGTATGGAAGCTTGTTTCCACCATAGGATAAAAAGTAAAAAAGGTAAATGCAACTTTTTATCTCACAATTCTGGCATTCCTCTCAGAATTGTGAGATAATAGTTTGACTGTGAGATATAAATTGCTAGAAACAAAATCAGAATTGTGACATAAAAGGTCATAATTACCCCTTTTTTTATTCTGTAGCAGGACATTTTTTTAAAAAAAGATGTAAAATCAGAATTCAGCAGGAAAAACACAAAAATTGCAAAATGTCAATTCTGGATTCTAAAAAAAAAAAAAAAAAAGAGTCAGAATTTTGAGATATAAACTCAGAATTCCCCAAAAAATAAAAAAAGTCAAAATTGCAAAATGTTACCTTAGAATTCTGTGGGGAAAAAGTCAGAACTGCGAGATGTAAACTCACAACTGCAGAAGTGTGAGATAAAAATCACAACTACCTTTTATAATTTTTTTAGTCCATGGTAGAAACAAGCTTCCAAACTAAAGAGACTTTTTTTGAAACCATTTAAAAAATCTTACCAACCCCAAACAATTGAACAGTGGTGTATATTAAAATGAATTCATATTTGTATTATGCAGTAACCTTTGAGTAAAAGCAATGCAGCACTTGAGAGGTAATACGGCATGCCGTTGAGTGGCTTATTGCTTTTATAAACGTAGCAGCATTGCGTTATAATATGGAACGTACAGTCACAGATTATTACTGACATTTACATCGGAATGAACACGGCTCATGCAATCTGTATTTAGCAGAAGCATCTGTTTTATAAACATGCTTTCACATAAAGATGGAAAGTTTAAAGGTCTGGCCCCCAGCGAAACCATCGATTACCAAAATAATCAATAGCTGCAGTATAAGCGCGTCGTGAAACGCTGTGGCTCTGCAGCATAAAAGCGAGATGCGCAGTAGGTTTAGCTGGGCAGGGCTCAGTTCAAATGGCTCATTGCGGTTTATTTATAAATGTGTTCTCGTTAGGGATGGCAGAGTTAGTATCTTAGCAACAGCTCGGGAATGGAGACTGCAGCAATGGAGGGAGTTTTTAGGAAAGTGTCAGTGAGTGTGTATTGAGGTCAAAGTTTTGCCGTTTTGTGTGTGTGCACTAAAGCGGCATGATTTGGTCAAAAAATCATGAGAAACATTGCGTTTATGATGCAAAATAAAGCTAAAGCACTTTGTGTTGTCAGTGCATGCTAAAAGTGACCACTTTGCAGACAACAAATATATATATATTGAGCCAACATAAAAAAAGTCACATGCATGCTTGAGTATGCATAGTATACTCTGAAGTATGCATGACATATAATGTATTTATTAAATTAAATTGCAGCATTTTAAGGTTTAATATTGCACAAGGTCATATTGAGATGTCTATTTATTGCACAGCCCTAGTGTGTAATTACCTAAAATAGATGCTGTGTATTTCAGTATTCCTGAGATGTCAGTCTGGCTGTCACAGCGAGAGTTCTCAAACAAACACTTCTGCTCATCTGACAAGCTTCGTACAAACTCTTGTCCACTGCAAGAGAAAGAGAGATTGATTAACATTTACCAGGGTAAGAGTTAGAAAAAAGGGAAACCAAAATATCAAAAGAAAATATTATAGCTCAGAGGTTTCTCTTTCATATCTCAGGAGAACTGAAGGTCTTGATTTCATCCATTTACATTTGCATTTCAACTTTGTCTAAGATATTCCTATGGATGAATAAAAATAGAAATAAACGAGACCCCAAAACGTATTTGGACACTTATAAATGTTTGCATGTCAAGTCAAGATAAATGTATTTGTATAGCACTTTTCACGATACACACTGTTTCAAAGCAGCTTTACAGAAAATCTTTTAGTTGCATTTAGCAGATCGGAGCTGGGTGATAATACAGTAAAATTTTATGACAATATAAACAATCTAGCAGATGAGATTTGCTTTATAGTTTATATATGTGAATATTCTGTTGAACATACGTATATATCTAACTTTATATAAAGAGCTGGGTTATAGTATAGTTACATTTTGGACGAAATAAAAAAAATTCGATATATAGGCTAGTATATATTGATTTACATGAGTGCACTGTATGAGGATACATTTAGACATACTTATATATTTATTTTTATATAATAAATATAGATACAATATGAGCTGAAATAAAAAACTTTTTTTTTTTTTAAATCAAGCAGTTGAGATTTGCTTTTGTCATTGCATTTGTACAAAATTTCAAACCAAGTGTCATTTATTGTAACGAAAACCGCACACATTTTACAAGCAACAACTTTTGATTAAAAACCTAAAACTTCTGTTAGGCTTGAAACGATTAATCATTAGATCTAGTGTTCAAAATGGGTTACTTTGTTTTGTTATTTTGCATCACATGACATGAAATTCGTTTTAAATGTGAATTTGGTGTCAAAAATTCACTGTACTGTAAGAGCATCCACCTTATTTTGCAAAGCAGAAGTAACGTTAAACTACTTCCTGTGAATGTGCGAGACTTCCGATTCATTAGCCGCTACAGGTAAATAATATCAAAGCGCAATAAAGAGTAAAACTAATTGCAAACCAGTGTGTTTATGATTATGATAATACATTAAAATTATATGATAACAAATGCCAGTTTGCAAAATCAAGCAGCATAAAGGACACGTAAATGTGTCACCGGATGTCTCGCACATTCAATTACAAAAAGCCGCGCCCATTCTTACGTTAAACCTAAGGTGGATAGAGCTATAAAATTATGCGGAAAGATAATATGCGAGTTCATATTAAGACTTCTGTCTTTTGTTTGCAGACTTTGGTGTGTTAGCATATTTTGAGACATGGTTGTTATCTCTTCTGAAACTCTATTTTCTCATTACTGTCTAAGAGAAACAGCTGACATGTCGTGATGTACCTGATTTCCCTCTGTCTGTAAAACTCCACCGTCCTCTGCAGGGCCAGCTGAATCGTCTGGGTCTAAAAAGAAGAAAAACAATGCAGTCAGAAGTTGTTCGACCCAGATTCACGAGTGACACTATAAAGACACGATTTAACTGGTAAACAACAGCACTCGCATCTCACTTGTCCAAACACTGCTCTGCTTCTAGAGCTCCTTTCACAGGATCTAATTCAAACGGATTCAAAAAACATCAGACACAACTAAATCAAATGTTAAAGCAACTGTATGTATTATTTTTTTTTTTACCTGAAATATCAAAATCGTTCCCACTCTCCTTCAAACGTCTGTTCTATGAGTAAATTTAGTAAGCGAATTTAGAAATTTAGAATTTAGAAATTAGAAATTTAGAATTTAGAAATTCCGTGAAAAGTGCAGATTGCGTTACGGCAACAACAAATGCACATTACATTTATATTTTTTCATCAGGTTAGACATTGATTATTTATCACTCAAATCCGTTTATCTACTGCTGTGTTCAAGTCCTCCTGGGACGTTCGTACTTACGAGTTGACAAATCGTAATTACGACATCAGGTGCGTTCAAGTCAGTTTAGTCGGCACAAGATGGCGGTGTACCTTCTTTTAATAAATGACAAGAAAATACAACAGGGTCTGCATTTTTTTACTTGGATTTCAGCTGCGTAACAAGAACATGACCAATTTAAGTTTATAGGACAACTAAACTATCAATTTAAACAAAAATTTACCATCAATTACAGACGTTGCATCCATCGATTCCGCCATGTTTCTCATTGACACGCCCCCAAATCGGAAACTCGGGGCTTAAAGAAAATTTCGAGTTTCGCACTCGTAATAACGACTTTGTGGTGGCGTTCATGTGCGTTCAACTCGTAAATACGATCTATCCGACATGACTTGAACGCACCATTACTGCCCGTTGGTCGCGTATCCACCATGTTTGTAGTTTTTAACACTTTTAATGCGTGTTTGTAGTTCTAATTGAATCCTCGTCCATCGCGCAATGTGTTGTGGGCAATATTAGCCATTAGAGTGCGCATCGATCTGCACTTCGAATTCTAACCGGAAGTAGTAGACCATCCGGGAATCTTTTGCATAATGTTTTTTAACATACTATGATTTGAGACATAGACTACTAATTCTTAGATTCCTTTGGTTGTCACACATATTAAAAATGTAGACTGTAAAAAGTGTTTTAAATAAAACAAAAATACCTGGAGTACGTTTTGCAAGAACATACTACTTCAGTGTGTTACTTGCCACTTACTTGCCAATTTACCAGCAGTTTCTGATTGAAAATAGTTTCTACACCACTTTTTTTTCAGTAATAATTCCCACAAAGCTGCAGTTTAAGTTCTAGCTAATTAAACTAAGTTCTGCACATCTTGAATGGAGTAAAGAGTGATGGTAAACTCTATTGGATTTGTCTGTTTGTGCCGTGTTTGTGTGATTTGGCCCTTTTTAAAGGGATTTAGAGTGCTGATCTACCTGTAATAGAATACACCATTAAGCCTCATCCAATCAACTGCCTTTATCACGCTTCCACGGCAACAATATTCCAATCAAAATCCTCCTTGTTTCAGGAAAGCTCATAATAGCTCAAATCCACCTTTACCTGGCCAAATCTGCTTTAGTAATCTCACAGCGGTCGCTCTCTCTCTCTCTCTGGAGAAACTAAACCTGATTTATACTAACGTAACACAGCAGAGAATCATAAGAAGTACAATAAAACGCATTATGGTAATGAGAAGGTGGGGGAAAATTACCTTGATTGTTCTGAAAATAATGTCACAGTGCAAAAAATCTTTCTGGTCTTTAAAGTGGCTTCATTTTCATTATGCTTTGTGTAGTCTTCTGAAATTATTTTTTTTATTCAGCAACGATGCATTCAATTATCAACAAAGACATTTATAATGTTTCAAAAGATTTATATTTCAAATTATTTCTATTTCATCTGTGAATCCTGAAAAATGAAATCTATCAGTTTCCACAAAAACATGAAGCAGCACAACTGTTTTGAACATAATCAGAAATGTTTTTGAGCAGCAAATCAGCATATTAAAATGATTTCTGAAGATCATGTGACACTGAAGACTGGAGTAATGACGCTGAAAATACAGCTGCGCATCACAGAAATAAATTGTATCTTAAAACATATTAAAACAGAATATTATTACAGAAATTGTAATTGTATGTTTGATCAAATAAGACTTCTTTCAAAAGCATTTTTCCAATGAGCTTGCTGCAATGCATGTTGGAATTGCCTTCATGCAACAATATCTTAGATTTCGGCTTAAACTAGTTCTAGAAAGCATCGTGAAGTCCCCGTCTACCTTTGGGATCAGTCTTTGCATCAGGAGGAGTATCTGTGTTGTCTATGTAGGCAGATGACATTGTTTTCAGAGCTCTATGAACTCAGTGTAAATCTCTCGATCACACAAACAACAAACAAAGGATCAATGTTATCTTCTAAAGAACGTGTTAGTGTGCGTTCAGTGAACATTTGTTTTGTCTAATGCCCAAACAGGACAGGCATGATTTCAACTCACAGGTTTCAATAATATAATTGTAAATGTTGAAATACATGCTTTAGAAGTACTTGCATTGTTAGTTCATGTTAACTAATGTAATTAACTAATGTGTGCAAACGGAGGCTTATCGTAAAATTGAAAAAAAAGAAATCAACATGTTTTAGGAATAAAATGTTAAAAATATATCTTGCAAATGATATATGAACACACCCCCTCAGTAAAAACCTTCATAATATAAATAAGAATAAAACTGTTGAGTTTGGTGCTGCTGAAGTGGAAAATTAGAAGAAAAAGAAATACATTTAAGAAACAGCCTTTAAAGATGTGTACTGTAATTGAAATCTACAGATGCACAGACGAAATGTAATAAAATAAACACTTAAAAGTGAATTTTGGATGCTTTCTTTACACTAGTCTGAAGCAAAATCTCAAACCTGACTAGTGCATGAAAAAACATGCATTTATGTCAGTATACAGCTGGTCTGACTGTTTTATATATAATCCAGCTAAAACACACACACACACACATTTTGGATTCATGCCATTGGAGCAGTTGGTTTGCTATGAACCACATTTTTCAAGTGCCTATCTACAACACACAGACACACACACACACACACACACACACAGTAAATCCGCCAGAGTGATGTAGAGATACATGCACTATCGCAGCTCTGCGGTACAGTGTGTGTGTTTCTTTGAGACCCAAACTCACCAGGGACCAGTTTACCGAGAGTTTATCCTGCCCTTTCACACACACACACACACGCATCCATCTGAACGTGCTCAGTACTGTTCTGCTCCACACGAGACAGGATGAATATGTAAGAATACATGCTGACACACACACACACATAACACAGCAGGGCCTGAACAACCACAGCACGCTCTACATTGATTCTCCATTCACACACACACTATAAATGTAAGACGGTGTGAGGGATCGGACTCTCAGACATCTGCACTGTCACCGGTTCTGTTGTTCAGAGGAGATTTACGAGATAGAAAGAAAAATAGATAGATAGATACCACCAATCCATCTGTTTATCTATACATAGTATATTCTATGATTTTTCTTTTTTCTTTTTTTTTTTTTACAGGAAAACAGGTTTTATGCCTATATATATATATATACTATGTGTATGTATAGCCTGTTATCCATCCATCTATACACAAACATACACTATATATCATCTGTGATTTTATGCTATATATACACCCACTCCATTTTCTCTTAAGAAACAAGCATCATTTACATATTTATAGCATTTACATACAGTATGTATATATGCAAACACATACATCATATATTTGCATATATATCTATAACTATGTACATTATTCATTGAGTTTCTGAAGAGGAAACAGCTGGACCACATTTGCGTATATATGTATATGTGTGATAGATAGATAGATAGATAGATAGATAGATAGATAGATAGATAGATAGATAGATAGATAGATAGATAGATAGATAGATAGATAGATAGATAGATGGTGAGGAAGACGTGCATATATATATATATAGCACATGTGCATTACTCTCTTGTGTGTGTTGTGGATGGGTTAGTGTTGAATGTAAGGTAAGGCTCGGTACCGTCGGTGAAGTGAGGCGTCTCAAACTCTCCCCGAGCGAGTCCAGATTGACGCGTTTACGCCGGGCGACCCTCCTGCTGACGGCCGCGTCCTCGAACGGACACGAGAGCGTCTCCACGGGGCTCCTGCCGTTCCAGAAGACGCGCGAGAACGGGCACTCTCCGTCCTCCCCGGGGCTCTCCAGGTAGTCCGAGCCCATGGAGCTGAAGGATTCGGAGGAGATCTTCCGCGAGGACATGCTGCTGCCGATGCGGGCGGACTCATCAGACGCGCAGGTGACACAGAACCATCGCGGAACCGGGACGTGCGCGGCAGCCCCGAAGGAATCCCGAATGAATGCAGCAGCAGCGCTCGGAGGGACCGCCGGATCACCAAGTGCGCAAAACCCAGATTCTGTCCGCGTGGGTGTGGGGTGAGATGAAGCGGGGTGTTCGTATTACCGAATCCCGTCCGTGACCCAGCAGCTCCGTAGACCGATGCAGACCCCCGGAGACCTCATGATCCGTCCGTCCGTGCGGGTTTGACGCGGGGAGAGTCGCGTCCAGATGCGCGTAAAGACGAGAAATATTCCACCGTACAGGGCGCACAGAACTAAGAAACAGCCAATCGGTTAACATACAGCATAAAGCCTCGAGAGAGAGAGAGAGAGAGAGAGAGAGAGAGAGAGAGAGAGAGAGAGAGAGAGAGAGAGAGAGCGCATTGTTTCTCACAC